TTATGCTAACCTTCAAAGATCTGGCTGTGACCACTTTTAGGTGACATCTTGTCAAAAGATGCTTCCTCGCCTTTCTTGTCTGAATCTTTCACAGAATCCTCCAACTGCCTTCCAGGGTGACTCTTAAATGTTGGTGAACACAAATTTCGCTCAATTTCCACTTCCTGTTAGAAGACATTAAAAGGATGTGTGTTAAAAGCTATCAGTGGGAAACAGATGTGGGTTTCAGGGGGTTTAGAAGGCAGGAGTAAGAGAGGGAAGGAATTTCTATCATAAGTGATATTTTCCAATATGCTTCGGGTAAAATTTTGATAACTTTGGCAAGAACTGCAAACCTGTATCTGACGCTTAGTTTACTTTTCTGCCACTGGTTCCACTTCTGAATTAGCTTTTCTTTCCTTGTGCATGTGTTTCCACCCCCTCATAAAAGAGAGAGTAGAAATAAGGGTCGCAATACAACATAATATATGTTAATAGATGCAACTCCTAGGCCTGGGAAATGTCGATGAGGGACTTTCAAAAAATAGCAATATATCAACATTATATGCTAAAGACAGAAAGAAATGAGGTTTTTTAATGTCATGTTCTGCTCACCCTATAATGATAATCTTAGCAATTATAGAGCTCCCAAATTACAAACCCATTCAGCCACCATACAGTGAGTACAGTTTGTCAACTCGTAAAGATTGTGAAATTACTTCATTAGATTGTAATTCAAAAGTGGAGAGAGAAAAGATTCCCAAAGAAAGGAAGTATAAAGCGTGCTTCAAATATAGGGAGTCTAGCATTCCTTATTTTGCAGATTGAGTAATATAATCAAATAAAGCAAACCAAGTTTAGCAGACTAAATATTTTGAATAAAAAATTGTAAAAAGTAAGTAAATGAGCCAAGAAGCAAAAGCATAATTTAAAAAATATCAAGTGATAGGTTGAAAATATTTTCAACAGCTACTCATAAGTTTTAGATTTTTGTATAGGAAGCTATACAGTAGTCTTCCCATTATATACAGTTTTACTTTCTGCTGTTTCATTTACCTGCAGTCCAAAAATATGAAATGGAAAATTCCAGAAATAATTCATATGTTTTAAATTGCATGTTGTTCTGAGTATTGCTCCTTCTCACCTGGGACATGAAGCATCCCTTTGTCCAGCACATCCAGGCTGTCCACACTACCCACTCATGATTCACTTAATGGCTGTCTCAGTTATCAACTCTACCGTCATGGTATCATAGTGCTTGTGTTTAAGTCACCCTCATTTAACTTTTGTTGCAATATATTGTTACATTTATTCTGTTTTATTATTAGTTATTGTTCTTAATCTATTACTGTGCCTAATTTATAAATTAAACTTTATGATTGGTATATATGCATAGGAAAAAGCATAGTAAATATATAGGGCTTAGTATTGTCTGGGGTATTAGGCATCGACTGGGGATCTTAGAATGTATTCATTGCAGGTAAGGGGGGACTACTGTTTTCTAATTTGTACACACGCACATTCATACATATATATATAAATATGTATCATCATGTATCTATAATGCTTGTTGTATATATGTATATATATTCATTATTACATGTATGTGTGTATATACATAAATGATTGCTAGATATTCTTAGTATTTGTTTAATCATCTCATCATTAAATACTCCCAAAATATATGATGTATACTATCTTCATTACTGTGACTGTTAGCTGAAACTAAAAACATTTACAGGACAAAACGGAGAAAAAGAAGTTTCCATTTTTTTCAGGGCATTGACTTTAACATTTGTGTTTCCAACTATTATAAAAAACCCTGAAGTTGACAACATGCAGTGGTGTTTCATGCTGTTAATACACACTGTCAGCCATGCCCTGGCATGTGGGTATGTTCTCCTTAGCTAGTAAATGAGCATAGCGTCCTCATTTCAGTTCACTCTGGTGCCCTCTCCCACTGTCACGGAAAGTCACTGCAAGGATATGCATGCAGTTTGTCTGTTTTTATTTCAGCAATGTAATCCAACTACTGACACTGGCAAAAATAAAATAAGATAAAGAGAAGATGCAGATGCCCAAAATGCTGTGATTATTGTTCCGAAAATTTATGTTTTGATAAATGGTGGAATGCTAAACATGGTCCACGGACTCAGACTGATGAAAGATTAATCTCTGTTTTAGATAGAAACGTGTAGATGTGATTTGGTGAAATTGCTTAAACAAATATTTCAACCAATGATGACAGTAACATTGGCATTCTCACTTTGGGATTCACAGACATCAGGAGTGCATCATATATGAGGCTGTAAGGGACATCACAGGCAATCCACATGTGCATGTAGTGGACCTATTTCTAAGCCTCCACCCGCAGATACAAGTCATTCTTCAGGGCTCTGGCAAGGGGTCCAGAGGGCCTGTGTAGAGACGTAAGCAGGCTTCTTAGATGAGACTGAATTGAGCTGTCTCCAATCAAAGCAGTGATCTGCTTTAATCTCTCTTAATCTGTTTTATGCACTGTGCTTCTATGAAAGATTTACTTTGAGAAAAATCTACAGGCTTATGCAAATGCATGAAATACGAGTTTAGAAGGAACAAATGCAGTGCTTGATAATGAGAAACTTGGATTCCAGCCCTCCTTTGGCTACTAGTCAGCTGTGTGGCCTTGATTGAGTCACTTGACATTTCTCAGACTAAGTTTTCTCATATGGTACATGAAGAGATTTAGTCTTTCAACATCTAATGTGGAACAACCAGCCATTTATAGTGTAATTTTATTTGAAATAAAATCAAACAAAATAAAGAAATATTATTTGCCTTTTGTGGTTTCCAGTCTGGTGAGGGAGTAAAATAAAAGTAAAGCACAAAAGCCAGTATAAATATGCAATGATCTACAGCCCAGAGAGATACACAAACTCTGGGTGTCTAAAATGGAGGAATTAGCCCAGCAAGGAAGTCATGCAATGCTCTTCAGGTGATATTTGAAGAATTAATGGGACTTAATTAGGTGAGTAACTTTCCAGGTGAAGACAACAACCTGAGCAAATGTCCTGGACTGGGAGGAAGCACAGGGGATAGAAATGTGGCTGGAGCAGGGAGCCCTGCAGGGACAGGAAGAGAAAATGCATCCATAATGATGTCGCAGAGGGGAGGGGGGTTACACTTAATGTAGGTGTAGATGATTTGTGTGCTTGGTAGTTTGAAGAGAAGAACGTTCCAGTCAGAAGTCACTATTTTCTCTGTTAGGATGTAAAGTCTGATAAAAGTATGAGGAGTATTTGAAGAGAATAAAGAAAGTTTAATTTCAATGCTGCAAGAGATGGAGGAAGTGAGAAGAGTAAATAAAGATGACCTTGGCTGTGCAGCACTGGGCCCATTTGAGGTTGGCCGTGTTAAATTTGCAGGGATACCAATAGTCACTGCTGAGTGACTTAGTCTGAGCATTTTCCACAGTACTAGTTCAGGCAATGAGAAAACAGATGGCTGACTTCAGCCCAGGAGAGGTTTTATGAGGAAAAGAAGAAAAAGAAAATATGTGTTTCAGTGCAAGCTAAGGTCAGGGAGAGAAGAGATACAAGGGAATTTAGGTTACCAGCGAGAGAACTAAGAGAGTGATTGAAATGATACACCATGGAATGCAAGGTGAATTAAAAGGAAAGAAAAAAAGAAGGAGTGGATTGGAAGACAGAAAAAGGACCAACAGACTGGAGATCTTGGTGAATTTAAAAAAATCCTCGTACTATGAATACTTGGCAAAGAAAATTGGAATGAGAGGTGACTGAGATGTTTGCTTTAGTTTTTAGGGAGTTGGGCACTTGGACTTGTTAGGGTCCAGTTGTGACCATAAAAATGAAAACTAAAGTAGAGTAGAGAAGAAAGTCATAAATAGGAGGGAATCTAGGAACTTAGGGGCTGTAATGGTGTCCCAGGACAATGGAAGGGCTTGGAAGGCAGAGAAAGGCTGTAAATGTAAGTATCAAAGGTAAGTGTCAGCATCCCTGGTAAATAAGGGAAGCAACTGAAATTTAATAAATAACAGTGATGATTCAGCAGCAGGGATACAAGAGACTGCGCCTGACTGGAATGAACCTCAAGCGAGCAGGGTTTTCAACACGTAGGCAGGAGAGGAGTGGGCAGGAACAGAAATGTCCTCCAGGTAGGTGTGGAGGCATCAGGGACGGTCGTGTTTGTAGGAGAGAGCCATGTTTCTGTTAAAGCAACAAGGTGGCATGGAGGAAGCATTTGGAGAAGAGGTTGCAGGTAACAGAAGAGGCTGCTGATTATGGAGCGGCAGTTCCAGAGGCACTGGTGGAAGCTCTGGCTTAAATAGCACGGAACTAAATAACATCTCTCAGTGATGTCTACAATCTATTCTAGTTTTAAGACATCTTCAAACCAGGAAAGCAATGAAAAATAAGGGAAAGTTAAACTTAAAAGAGAATAAGGTAATTTTTCTTTGTTATTTATGTACATTTTCTTTAACATAATGAATAATTATAATCTTAGAAGATAAAATAGATGTTTTTAAGATGTGAGAATGCAAAATGCCAATCTTTGATATAACCAAATGTTTATTTCCTAAGAGACAGGGAGCTGTAGGATCACTTAAAGTTGTCAGAACACCTTACTGAGCCTTTCCAAAGAAAGTGGGTTGCCTTTTGCTTTATAATTTTTTCCTCTCGGTGGGGGACCATGAGTGAAGAGGTCACCAGAAAAAAAAAAATAAGATGTTCATGGACTGATAAAAAGAAAATGTTTGGATTTTTCTATATTTAAAATGCTAAGCTAGCTCATATACACTCTGAGACTCTAAAGGTTCTTGTCTTTAGAGAAATAAAAATATTGAAATAAACATAAAGAAGTTTCATACAGACATGAAGAGAAGTACAGAAATAAAGGAAAATTACCAAAGTATAAAAGACAAGAAACCTCATATGAATTCTGCTGTATTACTGTCTCATTTTGTATTAACAAATCCTCTTGCTCATTCATGTCTTTGGAATTTTATCATCCCTTTTGAGAACCCCTTTCCTGGAAGTCTTTACGGCCCCCCTCTGTGTATTAAAAGTATTTCTTCCCTCATAAACTAACTCAGTGACACCTCCTTTGTGAAGCCCCTTCACCCAATACATTCTAAACTCATATTTCACTCATTCAAAATATTTTTGAATAATTAATATACTGC